CATATATTTATTCTATCTCATTTATCACTTTCACGGGTTCATTACGAATCAACTTAACGGCCTGCTCTCAGTTGGCTTGTTAGCTCAATTGGTTAGAGCGCTGCACTAGTATCGCAGAGGTCAGTGGTTCGAGTCCCGTACAGGCCTGATTTTTTTCAGGTCTGAATTTCGCTATTGCTCAAATAGCGCTATCTACTGCGAGGATCGTCCATCATACGTATCAAATACCGCAGTTCAAAATATATGATTTTCATATATTTATTCTATCTCATTTATCACTTTCACGGGTTCATTACGAATCAACTTAACGGCCTGCTCTCAGTTGGCTTGTTAGCTCAATTGGTTAGAGCGCTGCACTAGTATCGCAGAGGTCAGTGGTTCGAGTCCCGTACAGGCCTGATTTTTTTCAGGTCTGAATTTCGCTATTGCTCAAATAGCGCTATCTACTGCGAGGATCGTCCATCATACGTATCAAATACCGCAGTTCAAAATATATGATTTTCATATATTTATTCTATCTCATTTATCACTTTCACGGGTTCATTACGAATCAACTTAACGGCCTGCTCTCAGTTGGCTTGTTAGCTCAATTGGTTAGAGCGCTGCACTAGTATCGCAGAGGTCAGTGGTTCGAGTCCCGTACAGGCCTGATTTTTTTCAGGTCTGAATTTCGCTATTGCTCAAATAGCGCTATCTACTGCGAGGATCGTCCATCATACGTATCAAATACCGCAGTTCAAAATATATGATTTTCATATATTTATTCTATCTCATTTATCACTTTCACGGGTTCATTACGAATCAACTTAACGGCCTGCTCTCAGTTGGCTTGTTAGCTCAATTGGTTAGAGCGCTGCACTAGTATCGCAGAGGTCAGTGGTTCGAGTCCCGTACAGGCCTGATTTTTTTCAGGTCTGAATTTCGCTATTGCTCAAATAGCGCTATCTACTGCGAGGATCGTCCATCATACGTATCAAATACCGCAGTTCAAAATATATGATTTTCATATATTTATTCTATCTCATTTATCACTTTCACGGGTTCATTACGAATCAACTTAACGGCCTGCTCTCAGTTGGCTTGTTAGCTCAATTGGTTAGAGCGCTGCACTAGTATCGCAGAGGTCAGTGGTTCGAGTCCCGTACAGGCCTGATTTTTTTCAGGTCTGAATTTCGCTATTGCTCAAATAGCGCTATCTACTGCGAGGATCGTCCATCATACGTATCAAATACCGCAGTTCAAAATATATGATTTTCATATATTTATTCTATCTCATTTATCACTTTCACGGGTTCATTACGAATCAACTTAACGGCCTGCTCTCAGTTGGCTTGTTAGCTCAATTGGTTAGAGCGCTGCACTAGTATCGCAGAGGTCAGTGGTTCGAGTCCCGTACAGGCCTGATTTTTTTCAGGTCTGAATTTCGCTATTGCTCAAATAGCGCTATCTACTGCGAGGATCGTCCATCATACGTATCAAATACCGCAGTTCAAAATATATGATTTTCATATATTTATTCTATCTCATTTATCACTTTCACGGGTTCATTACGAATCAACTTAACGGCCTGCTCTCAGTTGGCTTGTTAGCTCAATTGGTTAGAGCGCTGCACTAGTATCGCAGAGGTCAGTGGTTCGAGTCCCGTACAGGCCTGATTTTTTTCAGGTCTGAATTTCGCTATTGCTCAAATAGCGCTATCTACTGCGAGGATCGTCCATCATACGTATCAAATACCGCAGTTCAAAATATATGATTTTCATATATTTATTCTATCTCATTTATCACTTTCACGGGTTCATTACGAATCAACTTAACGGCCTGCTCTCAGTTGGCTTGTTAGCTCAATTGGTTAGAGCGCTGCACTAGTATCGCAGAGGTCAGTGGTTCGAGTCCCGTACAGGCCTGATTTTTTTCAGGTCTGAATTTCGCTATTGCTCAAATAGCGCTATCTACTGCGAGGATCGTCCATCATACGTATCAAATACCGCAGTTCAAAATATATGATTTTCATATATTTATTCTATCTCATTTATCACTTTCACGGGTTCATTACGAATCAACTTAACGGCCTGCTCTCAGTTGGCTTGTTAGCTCAATTGGTTAGAGCGCTGCACTAGTATCGCAGAGGTCAGTGGTTCGAGTCCCGTACAGGCCTGATTTTTTTCAGGTCTGAATTTCGCTATTGCTCAAATAGCGCTATCTACTGCGAGGATCGTCCATCATACGTATCAAATACCGCAGTTCAAAATATATGATTTTCATATATTTATTCTATCTCATTTATCACTTTCACGGGTTCATTACGAATCAACTTAACGGCCTGCTCTCAGTTGGCTTGTTAGCTCAATTGGTTAGAGCGCTGCACTAGTATCGCAGAGGTCAGTGGTTCGAGTCCCGTACAGGCCTGATTTTTTTCAGGTCTGAATTTCGCTATTGCTCAAATAGCGCTATCTACTGCGAGGATCGTCCATCATACGTATCAAATACCGCAGTTCAAAATATATGATTTTCATATATTTATTCTATCTCATTTATCACTTTCACGGGTTCATTACGAATCAACTTAACGGCCTGCTCTCAGTTGGCTTGTTAGCTCAATTGGTTAGAGCGCTGCACTAGTATCGCAGAGGTCAGTGGTTCGAGTCCCGTACAGGCCTGATTTTTTTCAGGTCTGAATTTCGCTATTGCTCAAATAGCGCTATCTACTGCGAGGATCGTCCATCATACGTATCAAATACCGCAGTTCAAAATATATGATTTTCATATATTTATTCTATCTCATTTATCACTTTCACGGGTTCATTACGAATCAACTTAACGGCCTGCTCTCAGTTGGCTTGTTAGCTCAATTGGTTAGAGCGCTGCACTAGTATCGCAGAGGTCAGTGGTTCGAGTCCCGTACAGGCCTGATTTTTTTCAGGTCTGAATTTCGCTATTGCTCAAATAGCGCTATCTACTGCGAGGATCGTCCATCATACGTATATATTTCCATTGTTAAAAGATTTTTCCGATTGGTCTTTTTTACGACTAACTAATCTATTCTATTCTTCTCTATGATATTGTATTACAAATCTAGTTCTTCATCTCTATCTCTCTGGTGTCTCTCGGTTTTTCTGTAAGGCAATTTGTCAACGTAATTCCTTTGGGCAGAGTTGGTTTTCTAGTTTAATGAGAACTTTTATCTCTACAATGGCTGTGCAGAAATAAACATGGCAACTTCAGTTTTATTTTATTCCAGCCAAATACAGTTTTCCACGAAAGATCAAGATAGTGATCTATATAATGCCAGCTGTTCCCAACTCTTCAAGAGGGGCGTGGTGGTAGAGTAACTGTCATGGTTCCAATCTGAACGGATTGTACCTCAATGGCCGACATGCCTCCTATGCTAATGGTGTCAACTGGAGCACCTTCAGGGGCCAATACTACTCACTAAAACGCACTGAGTTGAAAGTAAAAACCAAGGAATAAGACAGTTTCGCAGGATGACAAATGCATGATTTTACGTATGGTGACATAATTGAAACGATCTTTTTCTCATAGCTTTAGTGGATCAATCTTGACCGACTGATAGTTTTAGCAAAGCAGATATATGGCATAAGCTGTAGTTGTCATTCCCTTGGATGTGCGCCGACGATGGTTTCGGTGTCCGGTTCGCATCCTTCCCTAGTATGCTTCTAGTTACTTAGTTAAATTTCGTAATCGTTCTTTTCCGGCGACCAATATTCATGATTTATTCATTTTATTTATTCACTTAGTGTGTGTTACCGAATTAGATTTTTAAAGAAAGCTTCAAGTTATTGATCGGCTTAAGCTCACGCACAAGTCCTCAGGAACAAGGTTGTGCCAGCTTTTATATAGAGAGACAATGAACATGGACGAAATGTGTGTTAACTTATTCAGGCTCCAGTTTAGACTAAACTCTGTGTTTTGTGAATCAAATTTTCAAACCAAGCAGTCAAATATTCCTGGATCTGTTGTGTATCAACAACTTTGGGACATTTCTTTACAACTGGAGCGGAAATCAGCTTCGCCATCCTCCTTGTCAGCCCTCCCTGTAAATGAATTCTTCATTTGGCCTTAGTCTCTCTCCTGTTATTATAATAAGCAAACTCCAATGCTAAAAAAAAAATGTTTGTCGGTATTTGCCACGCGAAATTTATTTGCAAAATACAGGAGGCGCCAACTTACGCCCACGTGGCTGTAGCTCAAGCCACTTATGCACTCAGCCATTATTTATCGCCGGAGGGTGGGGGGGTAGGAGCAGTCAGAAGAATTTGAGGGGATTGCACGCCTAGAGAGCTGTTTACGCTGCTTTCGTTTGTCTCATTTGCATTATCGGCTGTCGAGATGAGTAAGCGACATTAATTAGATCTGGTCGGGGAAACCAAAATATGCGGATCCCGAGGAAGAGAATTAAGTCAATTGTTAGCACTGACTTTGTTCCAAAATTTTCGTTCAGGAAGACGATGTCATTGGAGGCAACGAAAAGTCTACGAGAGGATTAAAGTCATGGCCTGCGAGCGCGCCCCAGTTATCTGCACTGCATGAAGCGGGACAATTACAGACGGGGTGGGGAGAGGTTTGCCGAGGGTCTGGAACTCTGTCAAAACACCAAAATTAAATCAAAGTTTCCTTCAGGTGTGTGCGTCCAGTTCAATAAAAATCTGACCCCTAACTTAAATGTACAATTGCAAGTACCAAAACATTTTAGCGGGAACTGGTAACGACGGATGACTTAGGAACACCTTTGATTTACCTTCACTCTCCTTCTTTACAATAACGTAATTTGTGTATTGATTGTTTTCTTTTCGCTTAATTGAAATTACAACAAGTTAACGATTAATAATTAAGAATGCGAAGTTGAAAACTAAAAACTGCGATAAACATCAACCACTGAGAGATTCCGAGGCATCTAAGTAAGAGACTCCGAAACATGTATCTGATTAATCCACTTTTAGCGTCCTTAGCAATTACTTTTACATGCGGAGACCCTCGAATAATAACACCTGTCTTCAGGGCGGTTAACTTTGCCAGAGAAATAAGGGGACGACGTCTTAATGGAAGTGTTATTAGAGAAATAGAAGTGGATTCAGAGGGTCTATGTCGACTGCAGTGTGTGGAAGAAAGTTCATGCGTGTCCTACAACTTTGGATCCAGAACAAATAAGAAGTTTAAATGTCAACTAAGCGACTCTGATCGCTTCACTAACTTCAAGAATTTCACCAAAGACAACGAATTTCTGTACAGAGGAGTGATGGTAAGAAATTCTGAATATCATTTTCTAGAACGAAGCAGATAAGCTTTTATTACATTCCCTTTATAATAAACTTGACTTTGCAAAAGTGTTCGCTGAAATGATGTGTAAATTTTTGAGTCTTTCAGGATTCTACTGAAACAACTTCGGATTAAAAAAGAAAACTCAAACCTCCTCGCCCTTTAGTGACGGGAAAAAAAATTATATAATTTGTAAAACAAGGACAGTGTAATCAACTGTGTTACTAAAACCATATATTCTCAATATTCTCAGGTAAAATTGGAAGATAAGGATTCGTTCTAAGAATATAGTGGAAAGAGAATATCAAAGATGGAATAAAACTCCTTGAAGAGTTGCTTTTTAGTTCTTTGATCGCAAATTTAAGTTTTAGCTTAGTTCTAATTATGTGAGAGGTAAGCATCTGCAGCACACAAAAACTTTTCAATTATTTAAATTGCGGTAGAATTTCCTTTTTTCTTAGGAAACAGTCCATATTGATGTTTTTCTTAAGCAAGCGTATTACAAAAAGATTGTTTTTCTGTGAGTTCATTAAAGTTTTAAAGGTATAATATATTTGCTATTGTGATTGTAACGTTAACTTTGCTAAAGAAAAATATATCTTTTACAAAGCTCATGTAGAAAATGCCCTCTGTTATTTTTTTACTGATCAGTTGATAATACATATCTCACAATTGTCTGTATTTGACTCTGAGAATAATTCATCAGCGAACTTGTTGGCAACTAAAGAATAATAGGGGTCCTTCCTTATTAACGTAACTGCATCCATAGAAACCTCGTGGTGAATCCTAAGAATCAAAATAATATTTTTGAGTTTTTATAATCAACTCACCCCCAGGTGTACATGCACTGTCGGCGATATTCGAAACAAACCAAGGAAGGGCACAACGAAAGCATAAGTTTACCAGGTTAATTTAGATTTACTTTGGAAAAAATAATTGCGTTATGTATCCTTTTGTCTAGGTTATTTACGTGCTTTTCAACAATTTGAGCCACTTCTGTCTTTCTGATACTACTGCTTCCCCTTTCATCAACAGAGACGTTATATTCAGTTTCTTTTCAGCTCACTGGTAAATAGAATTCAGAACAATTAGGTGATACTCGATCGTCCTTGTGCGAGAAGACAAGAACGTCCAACCATTTGCAGATATCATAGCAAAGGCGTTACAATCCCCTCAGTTAATTTAAAACACTGAGTGTTAGTCCGGTCAGCAATCTTTGTGTTGGCCGGTTTAGAAGCTTACAATTCAATCTGAAAAATGAAACAGGTGCAATTTTAAAAGTCTATCAAACAATCAATCTATGGGAAACCTTTGTTGCAGTAAAATTAATCAGTTGTTTTTGTTTCGACAGAGCGATTGTGAGGTCAATTCTTCCCTTTGTGCAAAAAACGAAATCTGTCTTCCCAATTATAAAGACAACACTGCAGAATGGAAATGTCGTTATGCATCTGGATATACTGGAAAACCATGCGGTAAGTATTGTGGCTGGCGCTTTCAATAATTTTCGACTCTCTACTGATAGAATGCATGTTTGGAACAGAATCTTCTTAATACGAGGTGCTTTGCTCACTTCAAAGTTAACTTGATCTGCAACTGGAGGCTTCCTTAAAGTAGAATTTTTCACATTGTTATCACTTGGTCAAATTTCCTAGTCGATCTTTCTTACTATTTTTGGATACACCGAATTAGGATACCATTTTTATTAAGAAAACGAAAGGTAATGAATTTTGAGTTGAGTTGCGAAATAACGAAAGTTGTCCCTCGCTTTTTCAAGAGCGTAAGACGATACAAAAATCTAGGTCTCCTGTGGGAACAGAGAATCCGACTGGTGAGCTTCAAGGTAAGCCACTGCTGTGTTCATAATCATCTAACAACAAATCTTGCAAACAGTAAAGATCCTGAATTACCGCATCAGCTCTCCTCGCAATGCTTTATCAAAAAAGTGTAATCAACCTTATGATTTATTTCTGTTACGCATACGGCAGAAGCACAAAGCTGCCAGCAGCTCCTTAAAGATGGCGTCACATCCAGTGGAGTGTACACGATCAATCCAGATGGAGGCAAACCAATTCAAGTGTTGTGTGACATGGCCACGGACGGTGGAGGTTGGACCGTTTTTCAGAGACGTTTGGACGGCTCCGTTGACTTCGATCGTGACTGGAAAACTTACAAAGACGGGTTTGGAAATCCGATCGGCGAGTTCTGGCTCGGAAACGACAATCTTCACCGTTTGACAGCCGCTGATGACGTCATGTTGAGAGTTGACTTGGAAGACTTTGAAGGGAACATCACGTACGCTAAGTACGCCACTTTCGATGTCACAGACGAGGCAGAAAACTACACGCTCACTCTTGGAGGATATACTGGCGAGGCCGGTGACTCCTTCAAATATCATAGGTACGCAAAACACAAATTTTCAGGGCCTTTTTCACACGTAAAAGTTGGGAAACTGGGAACTGTAACAAAAGCAAATGACCTTCTACAAGCCAATAATTGTAAAGTACTTCCTTCCCTAAAACATTGATTAATATAAAACACAAAAATATTGAAATAAAGCCAAATAACACTCATAAGTAAGTCTGACATCTTGTTATTTGTCTTTCTGTTCTCTTTCTACATGTTTCTTTTTTTATTTGTAATGAAAGTCATTTCATAATGTTCTTCATTTGTAAATGAAGATTGTCACTGTAAATTTCCTTTATAGTGACAATCAGTTTTCCACCAAAGATCGAGATAATGACCAGTCAACAGTATGGCACTGCGCAGATACACATGGAGGAGGCTGGTGGTTTGATAACCCTCAGTGTGTTCAATGCGATCTTAACGGTTTGTATAACGTTATCAACGGCCAAGCAGGGGTTATCTGGCAGGCCTTCCGAGGCCTTTACTATTCACTCAAACGGTCTGAAATGAAAATCAAGCCCAAGGATCAATGATGTGTACATATGTGTGCTTCCATTATCTTATTACTGATTTACTAAAAGCTTCTGCAAGTTCACTTACAATACCAACTTTATTGACATTCCAATAAATACGTATGATGCACGATCCTCGCAGTAGATAGCGCTATTTAAGCAATAGCGGAAATCAGACCGGAAAAAAATCAGGCCTGTACGGGACTCGAACCACTGACCTTCAAATATATGATCTTCATATATTCATTGTATCTCATTCCAATAAATGGCTTTTCAAAGCCAATTTACAAAAACTAAAAAATTCACAGAGATATATATATATATATATAAACGATCACCTTTCAATCAACTTCCAACTTAAACTTTCGATTTTATCATTCATCAGTAAATTTCTGTATCCAGATAAACTTGACCGTCTTTTTAAAAGTAGTGATATTTACAATAGATTTTAAAGAAGTGTCTAAAGTCTAAAGTCTCAAAGACTTTCGTTTACGACTGTAACTTCAACGGGAGAAATTAAAATAACACGGCTCTTATAGAGTTGATCGAACTTAGCATAATCATTGACAATGATTCTGAAAAATGAAAGCTGCAACCAACATCTCCACTTATGCACCTTTCATTAGTGGCAGGTATAAGTACCTAAAAATAAAAACAAGCAAACAATTTCAGGCGTGGTAAAACTAGAGTGACCAAGTCGAGATTACTGTTAGTCACGTATAACATTTGTTGAGAAAGTGTCGCGAGTTTTAAGGACCAATCATAGGGAATAGTGAAGCAAACCAATGTAACCCCTGATCTCTTTTGATACTCAATTGAACATCGCTCTAATTAAACTTTTCGATTTAGTCCCTTTATTTGTCTCTTCCACTAACTCTGTTTCATGGAATAGACAACAGGATTAAGTTGATTCCTCAGAAAAAATAGTTAAAGAACAATTTTTCCAAACTTTCCTTAAATGTTCCCTTCCAACGTCTATTTCGAAATATACATATAAAACGACAGTTCACTGTGCTTGTTTCAGAGATGACGGGCCTTTAAGGTTAAAATTTAATTTGCATCATCGAGTAAGAGGCTTCGTGAACCCTTTTCGCTATATCTTTTTTCCCTCTGATAAACATTTTTTTAATATCTCCAATTTAAAGAGGACTATTTGTGCACCAAAATTACGCAATAAAAACTATAGGTCACCTTGCTCGTTCAAGATGCAATGACTATCTTGCTTCTCTTCCTTGTCCATTTCACGCACAACACCGCTTTGATTAAATTGAATTAGCATAAGAAAAGCATTAGCTTAAATATATTTTGCTTAAGGTCAATAGAAAAATCACACTACATTGGCATATATGACAATCATTTTGATATGTTTTGTTCCTGGTTTAACATTGATTTCCATGTAACATCTGCGTTAAAAATACAATAAACAACGTGAAAATGAAATAAAGGATGTCAGTTTCGTTTCATTTACTTTCAATTTAAATCATTAAACTTCCTGGTGCTCTTGATTCAAGTAAATCACGCCGCTATTTTAAATATTTTCGTTAAACCTGTTTTGTTTCGCCCTCTTCCGTACGGTGAGCCAATGTATTTACTCTGACGAATAGCTAACACTCGAAACGTCAGCTTTACTGACTCTTTAAAGTGCTTGGCCATTTTAAATTGTCAATTCAGCGTATAAAACCAATTTATCTGATCATAACCTTGCCAAGTAAAGCTGTGGGAATTGAGAAAATTTTTCTGATTTGAGAATTTCTGTTC